TAGAGCAGAATGAGACGCAGCAGGAGAAAAAGGTTTCTACATAATGGAAATCCCCCAGTGTCAGAGTGTAATTTCTTCATTTTCCTAATTTGTTGCTTTTATATTATATCAATCATTTCCATCTAAATACATTAAAATGCACTTCAAGTAATAAATGAGAAATAACATTTGTGAAAGCATTGAATTTAAAGCATTATGTCATTGTAGATATACTACTAACTGCTTTGAAAGATCGTACAGTGTGTTGAGTCACATTTCTCTTACAGTGATTCTTCATGTCAAATGTGTGCAGGAAAATATGTACAGTAACCAAATCCTGTTTTTACATATGTGGAAGCATTTTACCATTACATTTGTTTCTGAGGGAAATCTGAATTTGTCTAATTGTGTTGTCCTGCAATTTAAAGGTTAAACAAAAATTCTTTGCATCTTCTGATTTGCCTCTCAGGCCATGTTTAAAATGCCCAGTGTTTCAATGTCACCTTTATTTAGACTACAGTATTGTTAACCCTGCTTAAGTTAAAGTAAACATCTTTTCTAATATTATGCAATCCTCAAATGCTAGATGTATCTTAAGATTATGAAGGATAGATTTTAATAGCGACAAAGTACATGTAAAGTAAGCAAGCAAGACAAAAGAAAAAGTTGATATGGAAAATGTAATAGGCTAAACTTTAAGGATAAATATTGAGGATGGATTAGAACATTAGTGAAAAAACAGTAATTCAAAATTCCATATATACACATTTTTAAATGAACAGACATGCTGGGTCGCCCTCTGTACATACATAATGTGATGGGTCCTCATTTCCACTGACACTGACATTCATACAGACAGGAAACCGCAACGTTTTTGTAACATTTTTATTTTAGTAGATGTTTCATTTGGATACAGTATATGGAAGTTTATTAACGCTATGAATAAAAAAAAAAAAAAAAGGTAATTGTGACTTTTTATCTCACAATTCTCTTTTTTCCCCCACGAAATTTTGAGAAAAAACTGCAAAATACCAACTCAGATTTCTGACATTGTTTTTCTCACAATGGTAATTGCAGCATTGTATCTCACAATTCTCATTGATTCTCATGATTCTGAATTCTGAATTGACCCTTCGCCAGGAGTTTGATTGACAGGAGATCTGACCATAACAACCATAACACAAAATCTGCCGTTTTGTTCGACAAACAAACAAACCAGACAGGAGAGTACAATGTCGGTGGACTTGAACTTGAAAAATTGTGAGTATTGACGTCTTTCAGCAGTTGAAACAAGATACCTTGTTCATTCATGTTTATTTCATGTTATTATAAAGTGGAAGAGATAATTGGTTCATGTGCCGCTTGAACTGAGGTGCTACAGCGATCTGCCATGACACATTAAAGGGATAGTTCACCCAAAAATGAAAATTTGATGTTTATCTGCTTACCCCCAGGGCATCCAAGATGTAGATGACTTTGTTTCTTCAGTAGAACACATATGATGATTTTTAACTTTAACCGTTGCAGTCTATCAGTCGTATAATGCATGGCAATGGTAACAAAATCTATGAGAGTAAAAAAAACATGCACAGACAAATCCAAATTAAACCCTGCGGCTCGTGACGACACATTGATGTCCTAAGACACGAAACGATCGGTTTGTGTGAGAAACCGAACAGTATTTATATCATATTTTACCTCTAATACACCACTATGTCCAACTGCCTTGAGCGCGCGCAAGCACGTACACTCCTCACGCACCGGATACCGTGCACGCGCTCAAGGCAGTTGGACATAGTGGTGTATTAGAGGTAAAAAATGATATAAATACTGTTCGGTTTCTGGCACAAACCGATTGTTTCGTGTCTTAGGACATCAATGTATCGTCACGAGCCGCAGTGTTTAATTTGGATTTGTCTGTGCATGTTTTTTTTTACTCTCATAGATTTTGTTACCATTGCCATGCATTATACGACTGATAGACTGCAACGGCTGCAGTTAAAAATCATCATATGTGTTCTACTGAAGAAACAAAGTCACCTACATCTTGGATGCCCTGGGGGTAAGCAGATAAACATCAAATTTTCATTTTTGGGTGAACTATCCCTTTAAAGAGCCACAAAACAGTTTTTATTGTTTGAATTTCTTTAATAAAATGACAAAATGTGAAAGACTTTGTTTCATACCAGAAGTAACCTGCTCTCTCTTGTCTGTTAGCACGTTGTCAGTGTCGTCTTTGCTCCACGATGTATTTTTCACTGCATGACAACATGATGTGTCGTAAGAACGCAATGGCTTGTCAGACGTCGCAGCAGTAACTAAAAGGGGACGGGTCTTAGCGAAGGGCCAATTACAAGAAAAAAAGTTACAGTTGTGAGATATAAACTCAGAATTGTGAGGAAAAAAGTTAGAAGTCACAAATATCTGTTTAATTTTTTATGCCGTGGTGGAAACAAGCTTCCATTAATACATCACAATAGTGGGGGGGGAAAAGTCAAGATAATGCAACTTTCTTTTCATGCCAACTTTAGGGAGAGATAATTAAACATGTTTTCATTTATTGTAAATAAAATCATGAAAAGGAAGTTTTATTTTTTTTTACAATTCTTTCTGGAAATGTTCGTACATTTTGAGTGGTTGAGGATGGAAATGAAGAGTGTTGATCTATGAAAATTACAAAATGAAAGATACACAGTTCATTTCCACTTTGTAAGTCAAATCACATTTTGTTTTTGTCCTGTGATATATAGGCCTACCGCTTCCAGTGTTGGGGTGTGTGCAATGCAGGATAAAAGAGAAGGAAGGGCCAATCCTATAATTGGTCAGGACTGCTTTTTATTGGTCTGTTATGTAGGAAATCATTGGAAAGGTGTGGTATCAAATTGTTGTTAATAAATAAATGCAGACTTGAAAACTTCACCACATTTCTGCTCTTGTTCCAACACCGGATACATTGACAGTATGGCAATGAAGGCTAAAGTGACTGTGTTTCTGGTTCTGTCTCTCTTTATTGTGAACACCAGCCTCTACAGACGACACATTTATGTGAATGAGAGCATGACATGGACAGATGCACAGCAGTACTGCAGAAAGTACCATGATGACCTGTCCACCGCCAGCAATGTAGAAGTGAAACTACTCTCTGCGAATCCAAAGATCACTTCTGAATATTTCTGGATTGGACTTCAAAGAGATTCCCAAAGCCCACTGCTCTGGAAATGGAGCGGAGGTGAGAATGCATCTAATATCATGTGGGATTCTGGACAACCGGATGCTTTGCATGAACAGTGTGCTGCGGTCCTAAAATCAAATGCTAAACTGCATGATGCCACTTGCCTTTTATCAATACCGTTTTATTGTATGGAGGTATTTGAGCTAATCCTGGTGCAGAAGGAAAACACGTGGATTGAGGCCCTGGAATACTGCAGACAAAACCACATTGATATGGCTGGCCTAACCTCAGATCTGATGATGATGGAGGCGAAGAATAAGAGTGCGCCAGCCCTTGTGGACGATGTGTGGATTGGTCTACGGTTCATAGCCGGTCATTGGTTTTGGGTAGATGGAAATAATGTTGAATATAAGGGCTGGTCATCTGAGGGGGAGCCACAGTGCCCTCCTGTGGATCAGCGCTGTGGGGTGTTTAATAAAAAAAAGATTGTCTGGAAACCTGACAACTGTGAGCGAAGACTCAACTTTCTCTGTCTCAAGAAAAATTAAGTAATAGCTGAAGGAAGCAGTAATTGAATCAGTTTGGCATGTGTAATAAGTCATGCCTACTAAATAATCAGCTTACTAAAGAACGCTAAATCAAATTAAAATGATTTTTGCTGTTACTGTTACTATTATCGATTTGACGGCACTATCGGATGAGAACAAAACCAAGCTGGATGATATTGAATTGAATCAACTGAACTGACTTGAGCTGAATAACATTGTCTTTGTAGAGTTGCTTAGCTGAATTGAACTTGTTTCATAATTGATTAACATTGCTATTATTTTCCTATTTATTACTTAAAGCGGCTTTGAAACCATCTGTATTGTATAAAGTGCTATAGAAATAAAGGTGACTGGACTAGTTGCTAGCTGTAGATGTCAGCTATGTACTCAGTAGACAAGACATCTCGCATTTGCTGCTGTTGTGAAAATAAAGTGAAATCTTGTTAACCAAATAATATTTGCCGTGGTAAGAAGTATCAATTTTAATTAATATTTGATTCCAGATATGTGTTGATATATTACATATACATACATTCAGACCTGCTGCACTGCAGCTTTTCAGCATGAATTACAAGTATTTGTCTCTCAAAAAAAGACTATATTTCACTGTACAGTAATTTTACTCTTGAGTTGTCATCGTAATTACTGTAAATGTGATTACATTACAAAATGATCAAATAATAAAGAGAGTAACAGGAAATAATTCATAAAAATAAACATTTTATTCTTTTTAATTTTCAAAAGGTAAAAAAAAAAAAGTTCATTTAAAATTCTTAAAATTATTTTTTTTTATTTTGACAAAATAAAATAAAACCTGGAAGTTTAATTATACAAGAATAGTAGGCTTGTGTATCATCACCACTGCCTGCAAAAATCATTCTTGTTAATTTTGACTAAATTAAATGTTTATCATCATCACGATCTGCAAATCTATTGATGTAAGAACTGAAAACTGATTATTTTGTGGAAAGGAAATGAAACCATTTCATGATGACTAATTAAAATTATTTTTTTTTATTTTGACAAAATAAAATAAAACCTGGAAGTTTAATTATACAAGAATAGTAGGCTTGTGTATCATCACCACTGCCTGCAAAAATCATTCTTGTTAATTTTGACTAAATTAAATGTTTATCATCATCACGATCTGCAAATCTATTGATGTAAGAACTGAAAACTTCAGTTCTAGATACTGGCCCCCCAAAAAAAGCAAAACATGTAAGCATAACTGGACAAAATAATTACATTTTGGACATATTTAATTAAATACTCTTATAATAAATGTAAATCAATTCTGACCATCAATGGTATATCTTTTTTTTTTTCATAGTCGTTTTCTCAAATGCAACATGTAGCAGAAAAAAAACTATTTTTGCCACACAGCAAAACAATATGAGTGCTTATTAAACCAATGGAAAGAAAAGGCCTACACACATATACAACCAAACACAGCTCAGTTTCCATCTCTCACACCTGTGGTCAAAGTCAGATGCACTTTTTGTCAGACCACTCATGTACTCTTTAAAACAGGAAATGACTCGGACTCTGTGGTGTTGGTGGCATGTTGAAGCTAGAGCAGGAAGTTAGCCTCGAAAAATGGTGACATGTAGCTGTGGTATACATGTTAGAAGCTTAAAATGTAGTTTAAAGGCAAACAAAAACACATTCATCAAAATTTAAAAACTAAACCATTTAAACTATCAAACAAATAGAATAACCACACAAAAATACGTTCCTTTTGCATTCGGTTTGATTATTGGTGTCTGCCTGCCAAACAAATAGCAAACAAAAAGCCTGACGTAAGTGATTACCAAAAGTTATTTCAGTATAAACAAAATATTCTTTTAAGAGCTTATTTACAGTAGGGACATGCTTAAAATGACAGTGCTATTAAGTCCAGAAACTTGCTTTCCTCCTTTTGCCTCGAGTCTCATTGTTTTCCTTTTTTCATTTTGATGGTCTCATATGTGTCCTGATCGTGAGGCTTGAGACCCTGTGGTGTGGAGGAGAGAGAAGGACAACACGGATGTGGCAGAGTGTCAGCGCCATTTCAATAGAAGCTCACCAGATCTACCACAATGCTTCAGAGATTTCATGAAGATCAGTTAAATGCTATGAAATTGCTGCACTTTATCACTACATTACTTACTATATAACAGCTTCTTATATTTAGAGGATTTAGATATTCTTTACGCCTTCAAAGAGTTGCATAACAATATGAATAATAACAATATGTATATGCGTGGTGATATAAATGAATAATATGTTTGTGTGTGTATGAGATTAAATGTGACCCTGGACCACAAAACCAGTCATAAGAGTCAATTTTTCGAAATTGAGATTTATACATCAGCTGAAAGCTGAAAAAATAAGCTTTCCATTGATGTATGGTTTGTTATGATAGGACAATATTTCAGTAGGAAATTTACAAAATATCTTCATGGAACATGATCTTTACTGATTTTTGGCATAAAAGAAAAATCAATAATTTTGACACATACAATGTATTTTTTGGCTATTGCTACAAATGTACCCCAGCGACTTAAGACTGCTTTTGTGCTCCAGGGTCACATATGATGTTTAACCCATTTGTGTGTGTCTTTCAATGCTCTTACAGTGGAACGCAATAAAGGACAAATAAAGAATATACACATACACACAGGATAGGTCTAAACTATGGCTACACAGAGTATTGAACAACCACAACACAACAACAAATACCTCATAAACCCCTTCGCCGGCATCTTTCTTCTGTAAACAATCAGAAAAAAAAAAACATAAGAAAGCCTGCAACAATACAGACACACACAAAAAGAAATGCGTGCATGTGGGGCTTCAAAGGTTTTTGAAAGGACAGTGATATTTGTCACATATGGTCACACAGTATTTTTTGTTGCATTGCACTCTTAGAAATAAAGATTTTTTTTATTGGCATCTGTGGTTTCATGAAGAACCTTCAACATCCATGAAACCTTTCCACTGGACAATAAGTTCTTTATAGTAAAAAAAAAAAGAAAAAGAAAGGAAATTTCTTTACACTAACAAAAAAATAAAAAAAATTATTTTAAGAAACTGCCAACTGAAAGGTTTTTTGGGGAAGCGAGAATGGTTTTTCTATGGCATCCTGCAAAAACCCTCTTTTGGAAGCTTTATTTTTAAGAGTGTACATATAGTGTAAAGTGTCGATTATTAAAAAAAATGTTCGCATACAGGAATAGTACATATATTGTGTGAAAGGTTTCATACTGAAAAGCAGACTTCACACAGTTCAAGACCGGATGTAAAAGTGTGAAGGGGTGGAGAAGGACAGTAAGCAAAAGAAGATCATTTTGGCGACTGAAACATAAGATTGAGTCTCATGAAACTTGTGAAGTTTAAGAAATGTATGCTGCTCACATTTGGGTTGCTTTAAGGATATTAATAGTTAAGACACATAAATGTCATTTGCTTTTTTGTTTTATTCTAGCATTTTATTTATTCCATTTTATAATGTTTTTCTGAAACAGATATAATATGCAAACATATTACCTAAAATTAGACAGACAGACAGACAGATAGATTTCCACCAACAACCAGTCTTACCCCTGAATATTTTTCTGCTTGTTTACTTCGCATCTGCCAAAGAATGAACAAATTAACAATTATAATAATAATAATAATAATCATTCAATCTTCTGTAATATGATGTATACATTTCATATTACAGAAGAATGTGTGTGTGTGTATTATATATATATATATGTGTGTGTGTGTGTGTGTGTGTGTAGGCAAAATAATGTGAAAACCCATTAATATAGGAGTTAATATCATTTGTAGGCAACAGTGATACACAAACATCGCGATTATCTTTTCTTTGTCTGCTATATGTGGACAGTTTTCAAGACAAATGTTAGAAGCCGATTCCCTCCTCCAACACACAGATGTTTTTATATAAAACCTTCAAATGGAGACTATTACAAAGCTGTATGAATCTGATCTAAGAATGTTGGAAGCTGTATTAAAGGCAAACGGTGGTAAAACACCTTAATAAAAAATACTGCCTATTTACCAGGTGTTCACATTATTTTGTCCAACCCCAGTTGTATATATAAGACAAAGATATTGTTTGTATTAAATTAATAACTTCAATATAATTGCTTTTACCAAATAATTTCAAGATGGCATACACTCTATATTCAGATCAGGCCTGTTATATGAGATTTAGACTAGTTTTAAACAAATTCAATTTATTAAATCATATTAGGATTTAATAAACTGTAATCATAAAATAAACTAAATCATAAAAAGAAAAAGAAAAAACGATGAGTTTGCTGGGATATACAGTACCTTCATTCTGCAGTACAGGACAGTGAGAACGATCCCATAGATGAACAGAACCGCGTCCAAGATGTAGCATATTTGCGGCTCTTTCAAACTCATCGCATCTTCAAAAAAATGAAGTTAATTAGGAAAAGAAAAAACTCAACATATTGTGCTACAGTTAAAGTATTTTATAACAATTATTAACATTGAAAATATGCTTCTTTTTTTTATTATTGCACAAAATGGTCCGTGAGTCAGTTTTATAGGTCCCTCCTACTGTACATAGGATGAGTGTATGAACTCTTTATCTGCTGTATTTTAATAAATTCTCTGTAAATTTGTGGTTATTAGTAAATTGCAAAACACAATTTAGAATTGTATCAAAGCATTGGCGATGCTCTTGTAATGTTTATACAGCATGAAATATAAGGAATCGCTTGTGTTTAAACAAACTAATTATCAGACATCAATACACAACAACTAACTATGATTTTTGGGAATATTGGACTGACTCGTACATTCAACACAATCATTGCACAACATTGAATAATATTTGTTAAATAATTATTTTATAATGAATCATTTTAATTACATATGCAAAAAAAAAAAAAAAAAAAAAAAGCTTTTGTGAGAGACTAATGCCTAAATGTGCCGAAACGTTAAAGAAATAGCAAGAGCATGTGTTTTTCTCACCTAGTATCGTATCCTAAAGAATAGTGTTACTTCTCTTTTCGCGTAAATTCACAGACAAAACTCCACTGACCACATGCTTACAATGAAACCTGTTACAATTAAACTTTCTGTATTAAACACCACACACCGCGTTGTCTTACTAACTTGAGGTTTAATAGATTCATTCTAGTGCAACATATTGACAAAAAATACTGTTGGTTGATCAAAATGCATGATTTTTGTCTCTAACCTTGATGCCAAAAATGTGTTGCATCAGTGAACTTCGATTTAGCATGCATTCAATGAGAATTGCATAAGAAATGACATTAAGAATAGAAAATACTACAAAGCTCAAAAATCCTTAAACCCTGTTGTCTAATTCAATTTATATAGCATCCTCATTTACAGAGAAACAGAAGGGAAGTGGACCAACAAAACTCAATTAGCCACAACCTAAATGTAAGAAGTAGCACTAGTTTCACATGTACTAGCCAGTGTGAACGTGCTGAAAAGTGTTACTTGTGTATTTATTCTGTTATTACTGCAAGCTTGGGCTAAGCAGTTGGCATTGTACTATAGAGTCATATTGTGTGGTTCAAGCTTTGTTGACAGAATGAGAAGAGGCTACTTCCTGGCAACAAAGTTTCCAACATCAAAGTTCAGATATAGTAAGGACTGTGAAAACAAGAGATGTGAAAAGTGAACTTTATATAGACGTGACTAACCAAGGCGCTTACAGACTTAACTTCTATTTTTTTTTAGTGAATGCTGGATTGTAGCATTTACGTAGATGTGCATTGGATTTTTAAACATCCCTTGCTTTAATTTATAAGCTTTTACAAAATACAGAATAAAAACCTTTCATAAAATCCCTGCATACTTCCATATTTAAGATGTGATCAGAGCGCACATGCTTAGTGGCATTATTTCATAATTTATGAACAAGCCCAGAGGAAGTCCATAATGCGTTAATCTTCACAAGTTTAGCAGACAAAATGACTACCTGAAAAAATAAAATAAAAAAAATATAGTAATTCAAAAGAGAAATTTCCACTGTTCTCGCAAGGTTTTAGTTTGTTATATACCATACAAAATTGCAATAGCCATCAGGCCTTCCCTAAAAAGGGAAAGTTGTTAATGTAATACATTTAAAATTCTTAATTGCCATTATCAAAATTATTAAGTATATTTCCAAGATGAAAAAGCAGCTTAAAATTGAAAACTTAAATTAGTTGATAACATTTTGTCAACCTGTAGCACTTCTATCGACGTAACGGCACAAGATTCGCAAAACACAACGTTCGCCACAGATAAAGAGCGCCAGCATTTAACACTTACCAGCACTGCCGAAGCTGAGCCAAATAGAAAGAAGAGAGAAGGGCAACCCCACCTTCATCATCATCATCATAAAAACTTGGCTTTGCTTCTGCGTACAACCTCACGGGACGCACACCTCCAAAGAAGACTTTCAGTGAACAGATGTGAAAAGCACATCAGAGGCCGACAAGAGGGAAGTTGTGGTGAAAATATGTCAGTTTTCAAGATAAACCACCCCCACCCCTGAGTGACGAAGAGGAAAAAGGGCCGAAAACCATGTGATCTGCTTTAGACTGCTGATCCTTGGAAATGCTGATTCAGCGTTGTTAATTGCAGTTATTTTGCATATATACTAGTGCTGTCAAACGATTAATCGCGATTAATCTGGTCCAAAATAAAAGTTTTTGTTTGCATAATATATGTGGGTACTGTGTATATTTATTATGTATATATAAATACAAACACATGCATGTTTAGATTTCAGAAAAATATGCTATTTTTATATATTAAATATATCTATTTATAATATAAATTATATGAATATAAATATAGACATGTAAATATTTTCAAAATATATACTGTATGTGTGTGTATTTATATATACATAATAAATATGCACAGTACCCACATATATTATGCAAACAAAAACTTAATCGTTTGACAGCGCTAATATATACATAAAAAAAATGCATGCACAGAATCTACGTGCAAGTTTGCACTTTTACAATCAGCACTTGTAAAGTTGTAAGCCTTCTTTGTTCGCAAGTCACATTAGATAAAATCACCTGCCAAGTGTAAATAAAGAGAATTTGCGGTTTTCCCAAGATTTAAAATATTTATTCGGTTTCATAAACATTTACATAGAGAAATGGGAGTAACTTCTGTCATAATATCACTAGAATGGATCACAAAGACAGAATCAAGATCAGACACTGGTGTCCTCAACGGTCCACTTCACCAAACACGATGTCCTGAGTGCCTGTGGAAAAAGACAACAGGTTGAGGCTCAGGGCAACATCAAATTGCTAATAAAGCACTAAAAATACACTAAAACTGATTAATTTTGTAAGATACATTTTCAGAGATTTTCACACTGCATTAAAAATATCAACTGAGAAGTGTTTGTTTATTTTTTTTGCTTCGAGTAAATAGTGCATTAAAAATATCAACTGAGAAGTGTTTGTTTATTTTTTTTGCTTCGAGTAAATGCTTAGATTTATGATCAAAGCTCTGTAGTTTTTATTGTGGGGGGTCAAAATTCAATGTAATATAATGGCTTGGAGACCAAAAAGCCTAGGATTTTTCTAACAACTGATGTATACATAAGTAAATGTAAGTTGCTTTTGTTCAGTAAGTGTTCATCTTAAAATATTAAACAATATACAAGTTCTTACATTTATAACTCAGTAGAGATTGTATAGCAAAAAGACATGTATCACAACCTGAAGGTGAACATTTTTAGAATTATACTACTGTAAAAAGCTTTTTACTTGCTGAAAAAAAAAGTATAAACTATCAATCACAGAGCAGAAGGCACGTAAAAAAAAATTTTTTTTTAGCAATGTTAGATCATGTTGTTCATTCTTGTAGACTGACTTTACATTCATTCAAAATACACACCATATGTTTAAAATAAACAATATCACTGCACTGACCAACATTTATGAGCCTCGGAGACATAAATCAGATCAGTTGTTGAATGATATTCAGATATGAATATGAAAATATGAAGGTTTCATGCCATTTGTAACAATATAAAATGTTCTTAACCAATGATCTGTTAAGGATTACATAAATTGTAAAACATTTTTACAAGATTATTAAAGTGTTTTACTGAACTTACCGATGATCGCCACCACGTCAGCAAGCATGTGTCCTTCAGACATTTTATCTAAACCAGCCTGAGGGACAAAACAGACCACATCACTGAGCAACATCACAACACAAATAGGAAAAAGATAAGGCCTGCAGTATTTGCAGCATTTTTCCATACACTACCATGCAAAGGTTTGAACTCGCTATGATTTTTTTTTTTATAAAATTGATACTTTTATTTAGCATTAAATTGTTAAAGGGGTCATATGATGCGATTTCAATTTTTCCTTTCTCTTTGGACTGTTGCAAGCTCGGTGCATAAAGAAGATCTGTAAAGTTGCAAAGACTAAAGTCTCAAATCCAAAGAGATATTCTTTATAAAAGTTAAGAGTCAACCACGCCTACCTAAAACGGCTCGTTCTAACACGCCCCCACATATCTACCTCACTATGTGGGAAGATTTGCATAACGCCGCCCAAATGTTCAAGCAAACGGCTCGTTCTAACATGCCCCCACATGTCTACGTCACTATGTGGGAAGATTTGCATAACGCCGCCCAAATGTTCACGCAAAGAAAGAAGGCGTAACTTTTATTCTCGCTGTAGTATTGTTGCCGCCGCCGCCATGTCGTGAAGGCGCTGTGTGTTTCGTTGTGAAAGCGAAACGAGGACCCAAAAGAGGACGATATCTGCTTCATCATGCCTGGAGCTGATCCGTGCTGGTTGCTGAGGGAATACATCAACTTTGCGCTGTGGATCGCCGGATCGGCTTTCACCGTGGACGAAGCGGAGTCCAGCCCGGGGTCGTCACATGTTGTTGCCGCAAGCCCTCCGGACGCTCCTTCGTCGAATCCGCCGGCCGCGCCGTTCTCAAGCCCACCGGCCGTTGCTCACTCAAGCCCGCCGTGTGTGACCCTGTACTAAAAAAATAACACTAATGATAATTATAATGTAATTCTTCTATAAAAAATTCTTCTTCTTTTTTTTTTTACAATTTGTATTCAAAGAATCCTGAAAAAAAAAATATATCAGTTTCCACGGAAATATTAAGCCGCACAAATGTTTTCAACATTTATAATAAGAAATGTTTCTTGAGCATCAAATCAGCATATTAGAATGATTTCTGAAGGATCATGTGACACTGAAGTCTGCTTTGCCATCACAGGTATAAATTACATTTTAAAATACACTGAAAAAATCTTATTTAAAATTTTTTTTTTAATTGTAAAAATATTTTACAATAGTACTGTTTTACAAAATTTTGATCAAATAAATGCAGTTTTGTTGAGCATAAGAATCATCTTACTGACCTAAAACTTTTGAATAGTAGTGTATGTTCTTTTTATTATTAAAAAAGCTTATTTTATTGTGGAGTATATTATAATTGTTGAGTATATTATCATAACTGAATCATAATAGTCAAATGATTTAATTACCAAGTGAGCAAAGCCAGGTGCCTTGATCTTGCAGCGGTAAGGTCTGCTGGAACCGTCAGATACCAGGTACACACCAAACTCACCCTGCAGCACAACACAGCTGAGTGTGAAGAAGGAATGGGAAAATAATATAACAACACTTGTTCTGATTCCTCTTAAGTCCGTTTATTTAATGGGTTTATTAGTTTATTCTATTAGTACTTACATGAAATTTTTTGGGGAAAAAAATAAGATCAGCCCAAATGATAAGCTCAGGTCAGATTTCAGTAGAAGTTTAACAAATCAGTAGTCAAATACACTGGTTGTACTGTATGGTTTTGCTTCACTGAAAATAACCAGACCATAAAAGTCATTAATTTGGAAATCAGACACACATTGGTCATGCTGCAACAACTGAATCTATAGGATTGCTGAACAAAAACAGCACCACAAAAAAAGTACCTTTACACAGGACCACAAAGACAACAACTTTAGAAAGCCACATTCCCCACATATGCATGGCGAGTTAAAAATTCACCAACAACCTCACCATGCTGGATGAGAATACGACCAAAAACCACTGAAAACTGCCAATGAGGCCAACGCAAAAATTTCTCTTGAGAACAGTAATGGTGTGTATGTAATTGTTGGTCAACACATGCTCATGTGCGTTACACTCACCTTTGGTGCCTCTACAGCGGTATATGTGGCTCCCGGAGGAACCTGGTAGCCCTCAGTGTACAGCTTAAAGTGATGAATGAGAGATTCCATTGATGTCTGTATGAAAACAAGTCATGGGACGAGAGTGATGTTGAAGTGTGTATTTTCTATATAGAAATATTCAATTCGTTTATAACTTCTCATACAATTATGATTAAGTCATTCGAAAACTATGTTTAACATTGTGGTACTTCAAAATGTGTGATCATCTGAACTATGCAACACTGGATTACACAATGGCTTACTCAATGGCTTGAGTTTGGGGCAACAGGAAGGGCCTGATCTTTCATCAGAAAGATCAGGCCCTTCCTAAAGGAGCATGCTGCACAACTTCTTGTCCAGGCCCTTGTCATTTCTAGACTGGACTACTGCAATGCTCTTCTGGCTGGACTTATATCATGCACAATCAAACCCTTACAAATGATTCAGAACACAGCGGCACGACTGGTCAACGAACACAAAAGGGCCCATGTCACACCTCTCTTTATCTCCCTGCACTGGCTCCTGGTTGCGGCTCGCATCAAGTTCAAGGCACTGATGCTTGCATATAGAACAGCCACAGGCTCAGCATCCTCCTACTTCCACTCACTTTTGAGAATCTACATCCCCTCCAGAAGTCTGAGATCTACGAGTGAGCGACGCCCCGTGGTACCATCACAGAGAGGCACAAAATCACTTTCCAGAACGTTTTCGTTCACTGTTCCTGGCTGGTGGAATGAACTTCCCACCCCTATCCGGAATGCTGAATCCCTGACCATTTTCAAACGACGGCTGAAAACTCATCTCTTCTGTCATCATTTGATCGTACTCCTTCATGTTGCGCCTTCACCCTAGACGGGGCGTAACAAATGCCTGAAAGTCGCTTTGGATAAAAGCGTCTGCTAAATGAATAAATGTAAAAGTCATAAATTTTGTATTTGACTCACTAAAAAAAATATGAGAGGAGTGTTTGAAAAACCAGAAATGACACCCTGCACCTTTAAATAAGATACATACGCAAGCATATCTTACCTTCATCTCAGATCTCTTGGGTGGGGCTATTTTAGCATCATCTACCTTGATCTCTCCAGCAGGCATTTTGTTGAGACACTGATGCATGATGTGCAGCGACTGTCTCATTTCCTCCACTCGGCACAGATATCTAAAAACAAGTTCATATTTGTCACCGATAACATCCAATATTAAAGAAGCATGGCAATATTTGTGGTAACACTATACAATTAGGTCCCATTAGTTAACATTAGTTAATGCATAACCTAACAATGAGCAGTACATTTGTTACAGTATTTATTAATTTTCATTAATGTTAGTTTTTTGTTATTTCATGT